GACTTTCGGAGAGAGGATCTACTTCAGACCGTTGGACGCATACAAGTCGAAAGACAGCGAGATAGAGAGAAAGAGGCGATTTGGGCCGACGAGTTCTGAGCGGCCACTACGTTGGAACACATGGACGCAATGCAGACGTCCTGGTGATGGCAACCCAAGGTGTGATCAAAGGAAACACGATCGTTCAGAGTTGAAGGACTTGAAAGGAGCCCCATGGAAACTCCGTCCAAGAAGTGAAGAAGGTGTGGAACACAGGTTGCACATCAAACTTACGGAGACAACGCGCCGATTGACTCCCAGTACACGAGATGGAGGACCGAGACAGCTCTATGTTCGGAAGAAGGACTTGGAGCTCGAAGACGGCGTGATGGACTACGCTCCAGGGTGTAGAGGTTGTGAAGCATTGATGATTGGATTGCCAGCAGTGACACACAATGCAGCACGCAGAATGAGGGTTGGACATCGCCTCGAAAAGACAGAAGAAGGTAAGAAGAGGCTGGCTGATGTGGAAAGAAGGCAAGAGCAAGGAATGGAGAAGAAAAGCAAGCCTGAGATCACAGGATTGCCAGATCCAACTGAGAGCGACATGAGAGCTTCGGTTGCACTTGGACAGCCGGAAGAAGAAAGCCCCAAAAGGAGTCAGAGCAAAGAAGGAGGAGGAAGCCCAAAGAAAGCGAACATCGCGCAGACAGAGAAGCGAGCTAGAAGTTCGTTGGATGACCTGTACCATGACGAGATTGGAGATGTAGGACCTTCGGTCACCTTCAGCTGCTTCAGCAGGAGGGGCAGCATCAGGTTCAGCAGCGCCTGGTTCGATCCTTAGCTATGATCAATTTTGGTCGCCCGCAGTTCCCAGAGACGTTCAATCATTGTTTCACTTGAGTACTGTAGCAGAAGTTGACGAGGAGTTGATCGCAGATGTGAAATCGTTAGGAGCCCATGACGTCACAGAGGTGTTTTCGCCTCCGAGATTCACAGACAAATGCAAAGCCTACGGATTACTCCCAGGCTATGCAATCGACCTTGAAATTGAAACCGGTTGGAACCTGTTGGACAAGACTCAGGTGAAGGAACTCGAAAAGGTTGTTGATGAAGAAGACCCATATCTACTGACTGGGTCTCCACCGTGTCGTCCGTTCTCACCACTACAGAATCTCAATAAGGGAAAGGTAGACCCTGAAGTGGTACAGCAACGCCTCGAAGATGGAAAACAAATGCTTGAGACGGCGTGCGAGTTTTACGAGAGACGGATCCGAAGAGGCCGATATTTCTTACATGAACACCCGAAGACGGCCAGCAGTTGGAAAGAAAAATGCATAGAGAAGTTGGCCGACATGGATGGTGTGTGTACCATAGAAGGACCGATGTGTCGGTGGAAAATGGTATCTAGTGTCGCAACAGGAAAATCCTTCGTGAACAAGCAGACCAAATGGCTGACCAATTCCCCAGTACTGGCAGAGATACTGGAAGGAGTCTGTAGCAACGCGATTCCAGGAAAAGGTTGGCGCTTGTGAACGGCAGAGCAAAAATGGCTCGAATTTACCCTCCGGAACTAGTAAAGGCCATTGTCAAAGGAATCAAACGGCAGACGCAAGAAGATGGTGAATACAGAGAAACTCACTCGCTAGAAGCAGGACCAAGCCCAGATGAAGACACGCGCCTGGAAGACTACGAAGAGGAGTTTCTACCAACAAGCCCAGAGAAGAAAGTAGGAAAGACAGGAGAAGAAGACCAGATATTCTACGACGATGTTACTGGTGTACAACTTTCCACAGAAGGAGTGCTGAAAGCGCGTGAGGAAGAATTAGCTTGGGCGCACAAAGCTAAGATCTACGAGAAGCGGCCATTGGATGAGTGTTGGAGTGTTACCGGAAAAACTCCAATCACTCTAAAATGGATAGACCGAAACAAAGGGGATCGAGAACATCCAAACTACCGCTCACGCGTAGTGGCGAGAGAGATCAAGAAGCAACATGGCGCACTTCCAGGGCATATGTTGTTTTCGAACATGCCACCTCTGGAGGCAGCAAAGTTACTTTGCAGCGACCTTGCTACCAGAAAGAAAAGTAGAAGCGGAAAAGCACTGCAACTGGCATTGTGCGATATCTCGCGTGCACACTTTTACGGTGTGGCAAAGCGACAGATATACGTGACATTGCCACCAAACTCAAAACGCTGCTCATGTCTGGCAAGATGACTATAGCAGCCACTTGAAGAACAACAACTTCATCCAGGGAAGCGCATGGACTTCAGTGTTCAGGCACAAAGACCGAGATATCAAACTCCTAGTTCATGGGGATGATTTCTTAGTGCTTGGAGACGCAGAGGATCAAACATTCATGCAGAAGGTATTGAGCGAAAGATATGAATACCGTTGTGACGGTGCAATCGGAGAAGAAGCCAATGAGCACCTTACAATTCTGAACAGGATAGTCAGTTATGACCGGAAAACGGGCGCCGTAATGTATGAAGCTGACCCGAGACACGCTGAAATGATCATAAGACAGTTAAACCTGCAAAAAATCGAAAGCGGTTGCTACGCCAGCAGAAAAGAAGAAAAGTTCAGATGTTCTTGCGGCGATGGGACTGCCACCATTAGCGGCAGAACAAACAACTTTCTTCAGAAGCCTGGTGATGAGAGCGCAATTTCTTGCACAGGATCGAGCTGACCTAAGTGAAGCGGTGAAGTCGTTGACGAGAAAGATGAAATCGCCAAATGAAGCAGACATGAAAGACCTGAAGAGATTAGGAAGGTATCTTGTGGGGAAACCAAGAGTAGTGAACGTGTTCTACCCACAACGTGAGACAAGAATCATCAAGATACATTGCGACAGTGACCATGCTGGATGTCTTGTCACAAGAAGAAGTACGACTGGATATACAGTGTCCATTGGTCGTCGTTGTATCAAACATGGATCAAATCTTCAGGGCACTATATCACTCAGTGCAGGAGAGAGTGAATACTATGCGCTTGTCAGAGCTTCGGCTATAGGACTAAGCGTGAAGGCTCTAAAGCAGGATTGGGGAGATGAATGCGAACTGGTAATTCATAGCGATTCATCGGCAGCCAGAGGAACAGCAAGCAGAAGAGGTTTAGGTAAACTTCGACATGTACAGACGAGATACCTATGGCTACAAGAAAGAGTGGCATCGAATGACTTGAAGATCGTAGCGATTGGAACAAAGCACAGCACAGCTGATTTGTGTACAAAGCCTGTAAACAAAGAGACGTGTGAACGACGCATGAAAACATTGTGTCAAGAATTCAGAGCTGGAAAAGCTCTAGGTGCAAAGACTTTGGAATCACCACAAGTGTAGTTAAACTACCCTAGTGTTGAAGGAGGGGTGTTGAAATTTTCACCTCTACATAAGAGTCCAACCAGACGCGTTGGTATACGCTTTGGCTCAAGGGTAAACAAAAGGCTATTTTCTGAAAGGATGGTTGGTTGTCTAATTTCCCTCCGAGGATCATTTTGGTGGAGGTCTCTCGGCTGGGCTGAACATTTGGAATGGCATCATTGGGGGTAACAGCAAGCAGATGGCCACGAAAAAAGGTCGTGAACTCACTCCTTTCCACAGCAAAAACCAGGGTCCAGGGTCAACTGATTGTCAGGAAATCGAGAATCTCCACCCGCAGAGGTTTGTTTCAGCCACTGCAGGTGGATGCTCTGTGGATGCACGAGGAGTGCTACCAAAAGCCAGGGTGCTTGGTTGTTGGTTCATTTGGAGTGTCTGGCATGGTGGACGCAGAAGTCTGGGAAGATTACAAGCTTGAACAACGAGTGCTCAGTCATGGGTGGGCGTGAATCGGATTGGGACCATGCATCCCTTTGCCAACCGGAGCACCCTCTTGTTACTGGAACAGTGAGTGGCTTGCCCGGCCCAGATTGGATAGTTCTGCCCATGCCTCCTTTCCTAAATTCTGGTATGAGTCCAAGCACTCAAAGCCCGAGACAACGATTTCACCGATCAGTGCTTCAAGCCTACAAAAACAGGTCTGCAGATCTCCAACTGCTTCCATGAGTTGCATAGAACAATTTGTGCAGGCTCTTTTATTTGTGTCTCTGGAGCATCTCTGGAGCAGTCTCTTTCCCCTATGATTCATGAAATCAGAGAATGAGACCGGAAGGATACGGGTATGGCCATAGGACCACCATGGCATGGCCCCCAAAACCATGCGATCGGTCGTCACTCCACGACCACTCAACAGCCCACGACGGTGGGTGGGCCATCAACAATGTGGAGCCGACTGGGGGCCCACTGGGTCCCCCCACAACTGTGTCGCCCGCCTTGGCCCGCCTTCGCCGTGTTTCTCCTCCTCCTCCGGCCCAGAGTGCTGCTGTTTCGCCGGCCTCTTGTTGCTCGTCAGGTCGCGCGAGACGCGCTGTCGGGTTTGCCGGGAGCTGATCCGGACCGAGCCCCGAGTCTCATGGAGCCAGGAGAGCACGGACGGGGTCCACGGAGGTCTCCTCGTTTGGAGGAGAAATAGGTGGGGGGCCAACAAGTGCTGGTGCTACCTGTGTCGCAGCAAACTGGCAAGCCTTCGCCTAACTAGTGTTGAAACATTTTGAGGAGTGGGCAGGCCCCATGCGTTTACTTGTACTGGGCTCAGTAGCGGATGGGGTCCAACAAACCCAACCGGCACGGGCAGCTGAGGAGTTTTCTTGAGTGTGGAAGCTTTTGCAACCTGCGCAAAGGTCATACGTGCTTAACGCAGATCCAGATCAGCATACATTCTTTCATGAAGGCATGTGAGGAATGTACAGTCACAGCAGCAAAACGTTGGAGCGTGGAACAACGGCCATATGTGATTTGTCAGACGAAGTGGAATCACAACTGCACAGGCTATCTTGGCATGTTGTGCTTGCCTTTCAGCCTGTAGGTAGATCGAGTCATGTTGTAGTGTGGAGCACGCGCTTGAACCAGTCAGCCACTTTCCCACTCAGTCAGCCACGTTCGGTGCCGCTTGCAACGCCGCCTTCGGTGCCATGTGACCTGCCATGGCAGCCACACTACGTGCGGTCTCCAGGGGGTACGGGATTCGGTGTGTCGGTGTGTGTTGAGGCAAAGGTATTTCGTTTTTGATCGGTTTTCGATGTGGCATGAAGCCGCTGACTGGATCCCTTCTCAAAGCCACCAAAAGAGAAATTCTACAACCGTTCCTTCTCCAAGAGGATCTCCCCGGTTGGTCGGAAGATCTCCGTCCCTCCGTCAGGTTTGGAAGAGCCGCTGGAAAGGCAGACTGGAGAGCCGACGGGAAGGTTGGACACCATGACAATGACCCACAAATCTCTACCAACTTAGATGGAGTGCTGGGAACATGTATTGATCTGTAGAATTCTGTAGATAACTGATAACTTTTTGTGATTCGACAACCATCTATGGACATGTAGTCCGTAATAGGAGCTTCGAGCTTTGCTGATAGAAAAATGGGTGGTGCTTGAACTGGCGGTAAGCCTGCCAAGAAGCGATGTGCGATATTTGTCAAACAACCTACACACAACCCTGGGATGTCCACCCCAGTTCACAAGTGGATGGCATACCTTTATTGTAACATTTTGTCGCTGGAAGTGGCTGACAAACCTCAAACAGGCCACTGACCGATGCCCACATTTTCCATCCGCACAGGCTACCGAACGTGCACCCCAGCACTCGCCCCAGCACTCGGGAGCGCGGCTCGGCGCGGCCGTTGACGGCGCAGAGCCGGGCACAGAGCCGAGGGCAGAGCCGTGGCGCGTCGTGCCGGCATGGGTTGGGAGTCAGGTCGCCCAGAGGAGAGTTGGGTTTGGAGTAGGGATTGGTTTACGCTGAACCCTCCACCGCTCGGCCAGGGGAACGGCCAAAGCCAAGACGCCGTGGGGGCACTCGGTGGTGGTGGATGGGTCCAGAGAACCACTGAGTGGGTCCGAAAAGCCATCGACACCGTGGTCATTTTCTTTTGAATAGGATTGAATAGGAAAGGGAAGCTGGCAGGTTTTCATGGTTTCATGGTCTTTGTATATCTTTGTGGACATTGACAGATCTGTTTTAGAAGCAGAACAACACTCGGTTGCTTGCTTTATTCTGGTGTTTATGCGAAGGTAGACGAGGTGCTAGGTGGGTTTGGTAATTGGTCCAAATTGCCTTCCCAGCAAGAACCATGCGGGGCGGACCAAAAGCATCCAAAAGCCAACACCGCACCCTTAAGATTTCACAGTAAGGAATCCTTTTCAGCACTTCGACCATTCTGCTCATGCAGAACTTCCGAGTGTTAGGGCGATCCTATTGGCCACTACCAATTGAGATTTGGGTTCCTGAACAAGCCGCTTGGACTCTGACGGACCTGGACAAAAAAAACCTCTCATGAGTTCGGTTTGTGTGTTGGTTGAACTACTTGGTTGAACTGGGGGGTTGTGAGCGTGGCGTGTCAGCCCGAGGCACTCCATCCCTGGCAACGTGGGCTACTATCAGCGCCGCCTGGTCAGCATGAGAGGGGCAAAACGCCATAAAGTGGAAGTGAACTTGACACCAGTGGAATCACCATTGACTTTGGTTGAAGAATTTCATCAAGGACCAACCCAATCCACCTTCCAAATTTCTTCAGGGAGGGCATACTACAAGGAGGCTTTGAGAAAGGAGGTCATCCATCCGTCGGAATCCTGGCAGCTTTGTACCTTTCGAGGCCCACGAGGCTCCCTTGTCCATCTTTTCAATTGGACACGAGTTCGGACCAGTCGCCCACTTTTTTCTTCCCATGTTCCCTTTGGAGCACCGGTCGACAGCGGAGTGTGCTTTCTTCAGCTCTTCACTGAGGCGCAGAGGTGAAGGGCCGAGTGAAGCAGCCCAAGTTGGACACCGACATGGCCAAGCTCAAGGAGGACGCGGGCGGAGGGCTGCGAGGACGTGCGGCACGAAGCGACGCGGAGCCAGGACTCAGATCCGCTCTGGGCCGGTGACTGGAAGGGGTTGCTGGCAGTGTTTTGCATTGGGGGTTTGGCACTGTGCCTCCAACGTCGGATGGACAAAAAGAGCCCACCAAATACAATATCCTGCCACCCTGCGCCAACTCGAGACACTTTCGTCGGCCCACTCATCCTGTTTGCTCTCTATTTGTGAAGGAGCTTTTTGCCTACTGTGAGGCCAGCAACTATCGAGGGGTGCCTCCTGACTGAGCGGACAGACCGGTAGAGACGCTAGGACAGCATGTGAATTAATGAGTTGTTTGAGACCACCATAAAGGTGCTGGGGCAGTTAGGGCGAATGACACATTTAGTTGTTGGGGAGTGATTTGCATGGTTGGGTGCAAGACACATCGCACAGTGCTTGTTCACACAGGGGGATAGTACTACCACGCCTCCCAGCCAATCAGCTGCGCAACTCATTTTCTATGCCCTTTTTTCGCCAGCGTTGCAGACCTTTGCGGTGATTTGGGACATTGAGATCGGTACTCCCACAGTTCCTTCGCCACGAGGTACGTGCCATGGTCTCTCACTATCCCTACCTTTTGGGCTTGACGGACGCTCACGGCTTGTCGGTGGGGACACCGAGCGGCGACCGCGGCGACCGCAGCGACGGTGCGGACGACGGTGCGAACGCGGACGACCGAGCGATGCTCGACGAGCAGAATCGAGCTTGGTGTGAACTGGGCCGATGCGGGCCTAGGGGATGTGTGTCTGGGGGCAAACCAGAGTGACAACACTACCTCTACATTGGACCCGTAGTCTAGGGTTGTCATATTAAAAGGCTAAATCATCCTACTGTAAGATGTCCACTGAGATTGTGACAGGATGACCCACAGAAGAACGAACCCTTGAATACCCTTGAGTTGTGAACGACAAGCCTATTTTTACTCCATATTTTTCGTGTCATTGTGCTTTGTTCCATTCCTTTGAGACCAAGGGTCTTCACCAAACGAATCACCGACGCCAGGAACGGTCTCCGTCTCGGGGCCGGTCGGATCTGCCGTCGAGTGCAATGGGGGGAGGCGCTACACCATGCAGTGATGTCTGGAGAGCCTGCCTTCGTCTCGAAGGCGCGGCGCGGCTTGATCCCTCCCTTTACCGTCTGGGGGGGTTACAGGGTTTTGAGAGGCTCCCCACAGTTTGAGATAGATGATTGTTACTCTGTGGATCATTTGTCAGTTCTGGCTTATTTCAGCCACTGGCCTCTATAAAGGCCGTTCTGTGTTCAGGAAGGCAGTACACAAATAAACTATGTATAAACTATGTGGTTGCTCATGTTGTGAATGGTGTTGTGGAGCTATGTTATGTAGTATTTGATGTTGTGAATGATGTTTTGGAGCTATGTTATGTATTAATTGATGTTGTGAATGATGTTGTGGAGTTTTGTGAAGTGATAATTGATGTTGTGATTGGTGTTGTGAAGCTATGTTGTGATGTGGTGTGTTATGATTGGTGTTGTGGAGCTATGTGATGTGATAATGCAATGCTGAACATGGTTGGTTGACCGGTCTTGTGTTATGTTGTGTTGTTGTTATGTTGGTTCATGATGCAATGACGTGGGCCCAGTTTTGACTGTCACTCATGAGTCATGACTATGACTCATGACTTGTCCGGATGGCATTATATCATAAGAAACTGTTTGCATTATGAGGAAAGGTACAAGGAACGATGCCTTGTCTTAGAAGAAGTGACTGCATTGGTGAGTGTTTGTTGTAAAATGCCGCTCGATAATGACATACTGATGTACCAAGGGGAAAATGATGCACAGGGTGTATGGTCGTACATTCCCTGATTGAAACCTATGGTGCAACTGAATGGAGTCCTGTCAAGCAAGAAGCAGCATCACGTTCTGCATCACTACTTATCATTCATCACTGTGATTGCTGATGACTTTTTCCTGCCAGCACCTACTAAATAGTATTGTCCATGGTGTTTGTGTGGCAAGCAGCAACAATCCAAGGCAAAATTATTTCATAATTAGATAGCAGGACTTGATACAACTAACAAAATACCTGAACTGGATTGTTTTTAAAGTATACTATACTTGGTTGTTTTTCCAGACTCGCAGGGACTCATCTCTATTTCTCAACCTTGATCCACTGAACAGTTTTTTCTCACGTCTCTGCCAAATGCACCATTACCTTAATCGAACTATTTATGAACATGGCTCACGATTCCGACATGAGTTACTCATATTTAAACAATTTTACACGTGTCCAAACTATAGCAACCCGCCTTTCTGTTTATATCATCCAATGGAAACTAAATGAAAAATTTACATCCCGCCCAACCATTCCAAAACTGTGATTTCACAAGGCACCAAAGTTACAAACAAATGGAAGGCCCAACTTCCCAACATTCACAACATCAAGTCCAACATGACAACTTACAGCACCCACACCAGAGTTCTGGAAAGGCAGAATCAAAACATCAACTCCAACATCAACACTACATAAGGGCAAATTCAGGACATCAATTCCAACATCAACACTTACATAAGGGCAAATTCAGGACATCAACTCCAACATCAACACGTACATAAGGGCAAATTCAGGACATCAACTCCAACATCAACGACAACATGTACGGACATACCCAACACACATAGAGGCCACTGGCTGAAATAAGTTCTGGCAATCTTTCTTGGTTCAACTGATTCAACCATCCTCAGCGTAGCCTCATTCTGTTTGCTTATGGCAACTTATGCTCGGTTGAGGATGTAGGAGCAGATCACTTGTCCATGGATTGGATCACTCTTTGTTCCTCTTTGTGGAACAAACATGACGGCCTCCTGTCACCTCTTTCGTTTCTTTTGCTGCGTCGGAGTTGCCGGGGCGACCCGTGGCCAAACACTCACGAGTTGGAGTGTTCCTGTGGGCTCCTTTGTTGGAGAGTAGAAAGAGAGAGAGAGAGGATGCCTTGTGAAGCATATTTGCATATTAATATCGATACAATGACTCATCCATGACATGATGCATCCCCAACAGAATTACCCTGAGGTTGACTGGGATGCCACCGATTGAGGAATCGGTACACTGAGCTTTGCGAGCTCTGCAAGTGGCCAGGTCTTGCAACTCTACAGAGATCCCAAGACCTTCTCCTTGAAGACCCTGATTTACAGCACCGAGGAGGACGGTGTTTTTAGCTGGGTGAAGCTGTCTTGACCAAGCAGGAGCGAAAACTGAGTGTCCTGGTACTGCCAGACATGCCAAGTCTTCTTTGAACTGACGTTGCAGTGAGCTTGCCATTGTTTCCTTGCATTCTGACACATTTCGGGCAAAAGGCTTTGGCAAGGCACTCTCAGGTTGAGCAACGCCTTTTAGGGTATCATTGTAGACAGCAGATGGCAGTACAGCTTGTGCCAAGACAGTGGTGCTCCTGGCCAGTAGTGCGAGCCGGTCCCAGTGGCCAGTGTTCAGAGTGTCTTGACCTGTCTTGAAGTCTGAACAATGAACAATGGCTAAGAAGCTAAGTCTAACATAGTCTCACCACCCAGAAACAGATTCGTGACTGGATGCACCATCTTTGGGGCAGGAGCTCTTGAAAGATATGGAGCTTGGGGTGCAGGCGCTTGGGGAGGCTCTTCACGATGGAACCCTTGTTGGACCTCCAGCTGTCCCAGAATCCTTGAGACCAGTTCTCTTTCACGTTGTGGAGGAGATTGAGGGCTCCCCTCAACGCCAATCACTTGTTCTCCCCGTGCGCCCACCTGAAAACTCAGGGATTTCATGGGATTTCTATGGATTTCTCCGATTTCAGAAGACTTGATAATGGTCTTTGTTGCGGTTGAAAGATGATGATTTCGATGCCCATTGGCGGGTCTTCATCAATTCGAAAAGCGAGCCACTCAGGTGGCAGGTGGCAAGTCGACGGAGGATAACGAGGCTCGGCTCCTGCAGTTGTTCGCTTGTTCGGAAACACACTCCCACAAAGGATGTTTCTTCTTTGTTCATTAGTATAGTTGCTTTCTCAAACTAAAGGACAAACATAATATATATAGAAGTAGAAGTTATATACCGCCCCTTGCTGAACACACTGGTACAACTTGTGGATGACTTGGCGTGACATGTTCATCTCGCTTATTGGAGCTACTCTTCGGGTTCCTCGGTCGTGGGATTTGGAATGGGCACCTGCAAAACTCACATGGGTCCTGGGTCCCCCCCAACCATGCCCGCATGGGTCCCCTAAACTCGGCACTAGAGAATGCTCGGAATCTTGATGAGCACCCTTTCCTAACAGGCCAGCAGAGTAGATTGAGAGAACATCTTCCTTTACAATGGCATGTTCTTTCAAAAGCAGGCGGTCGGTGTGGTCCGTGGTGCGATCGACGCCCGCCTATCTTCACGGTGGAGGCCACGGTGAAGGCTGTGGCCTCTGGGAGCAAGGCGGAAAGCGCTGGGCTGATGCCCGGCGATCGCCTTGAGGCTGGGATCGCTGCGTGGTGCGGGATGCAGCGCCTGGCGTGCGGGACGGGAGGTTTTCTGGGTTCTGGTGGGCCTGACACCTCCATCCAGCTCCTCTCACCTCCATCCTTCTGAGCGAGGCGGAAGGCTGCGCCTGGCTGCGCCAGATAGAGCTGGATCGAGTCATATGGAGTCGCAAAGGCACCTGGACCAACCTGGCACAAACCATGGGGTGCCTCTCGTAGCCCCCAAGGCCATCACCATCCTGCCATAATTCACCCAGCCAAAGGCTCCAAAGCCCATACGAAGAAAACACAACGCCCGTGTGTCTTCTCCACCCTCTGGGACCGGGTCCTGTAGCGGAGGCCTGTAGCGGTGCCGGCTTCCTGAGCTATCGACAACCGCCGCCCTTGCACAAGAACGTCCTCGAATCCTTGAGGTGCGTGAAGTCAGAAGAAACAGGGTTTTGGTGTTCGAAAATGATCAAAATTGAATAACATTGGGTGATCCAGTTCATCTTCATGACTTTAGTGCAGATTCTTTCTTCAGAATGAACAATGCTTCACACATCCAACGCGACTCTTACGTACTTGCTCGCACCACCCGCGGAGGAGCAAGTACGTCTCCTCGTCCTTCGGCTTCCCAGTGACCTTAGAATTCCGCGGGCCTGGTGCCCGGGGCTATTGGGCAGACGAGGGGCTGTTGGGAGCTGATTGGTGCACGACCCGGTGGAACGGTTGGAACCAACGCCGGTGGGACTGGGATGAGCAAATCAGCTGTATACAGGTAGCCTATGTGCCTGAACCAGTGTATCACATTGGTCAGGAATCTATCCTGAGGCCCTGCTCGATACTCGTACCAGTCCTTTTCATGCATATTCTCCAGAAGGAGCCAATGAAAGGGCCCCATGGCTTTCCTGGACAGATCCTTTCGCCAAAAGGTCCAAAGTGAGCTTCTCTCTTTAGGAGACACACTCATGCGGGCATCGATGAACACATTGACCATTGGGGATGATTCCCTGATTTGCTGATTCCATGACTATAGATTCCCAAAGCCCACAGCGGCGATGATTTCCATCAACCTTCCTCCCATGCGGCGGAGAACCATGCATGCTGCCTGCAGGAACGCGGCGGTGGAGATCTTAGCCAAAGATGGCTGGACCCCGACACACAGCGCAGCAGGCAGAGTTGTGGACATGCGAAGTGGAGGGAGCGGTACAGGTTGGAGTTGGAGGGATACAGTTGTCTGTTTGAGCCGCCGAAGAGCAACAAGTGTGAAGGATTGCAAGTTGGAGTAGAGTCCACACACTTGGGATGGTTGGTGGATGTTGGGTGGAGACCAGCAAAGTTGTTCAAGAACAAGAAAGCTGACGAGGATGTTGAAGATCATCTTTGTGACGGTTGCACATGTGAATTTGTGTGGCTTCCGGATAATCGATGTGGTTGATGTGTGGCAAGTTTACCGACGGCACAACTATCGCGGCCATGTCACCCCCAAAAAATTCACCTAGAGCCTAGATCCTGAAGAAGAGCCTTCCCCACAACTGGAAATTTCTTCACTGGTGTCATGTGGTCCAAAGCCATTCCTTTAGCAACCAATGCTACCAGTAACAACGGCATTACGGCACTACTACTAGTAGCTAGAAGCTACTAGTAGCTCCTGGCATTGCTACTAGGAACAAGAAGCTACTAGCAACAAGGGCATCGCTACTAGCAACAAGGGCATGCGGCAATCCTTTCTCATTTTCAGAGAGCGCCCCGCCCTGCCAAGAATCCGACCCCACTGGCGTCTGGTCCCTGGAACCCCTCCCGCTCAGGACGCGGTGCTCACGGGGACAAACAGATCCTATGGCTGCTGCTGAACGAGGAGGATCCATCTCTGAGATCGGGGAGTGGGATCATTGGGGCGGCAAAAACGCACGGGTCCAGCGAAGATCCGACAGCTTAGGTCCTGATCCACTCCTCTCCATGATGGGTCGACGGGTAGCTAAAGTGAGAGGAGGGTGTATTCTATCTTATTTCATTTTTTAAATAAGATGTTTAGGAACTTGTCTAAATCTTTGAAGAGTTTTAACCTCTGGAGACCCAAAATTCTTCGTATCACGTTCCCCTGCCAATGCATCTTAACACGCCGTGGGATGTCTGGGACCCAAAGAGTGAAGACTCTTGGCGGTCGCCCAAGCTCATCAACTAAAAAACTGGAGCTAGAAGTAGCCTGATGGGTGTATAGCCAACCGACATAGTGTAAATTCCGTGTCCCCTGATCCATGGCCAAGCCAGACTCCACCTGTTGGTCTCCAAAGGACAACGTAGATCGTGTTGGAGAGTACAATCAGTGCCAGTTTTGAAATCAACTTGCTTTGCGTCAGCTATGAGTGTGAAACATGTCATGAGGTCATGAGCGTCAAGACCTGTCAGCAACATTCAAACCGCCGGGAGTAGGATGGCCTGTGATGAACGCAGAACTGCAAATCAAGTCACCAGCAAGACACGCAACCCGAAAGAAAAAGATCCCTATATTGCTCATGAATGACAGACGGTCTGCAACTTCAACTGCGTAGTGTCAGCTGCGTTTGCAAGCATCTCTGCACAACCCACCCGTGCCCTGCGTTTGCAACTTGCCCGGAGGAAATATCAAAAGTGCTGCAAATACCGCAAAAAAATGTGTCGGTTTGTAAGCCCATCCACAATTGCCAGAGAGGGACGGAAAATGACGGAAAGATGTGTGGCGCGGCGCACCCCCCACAAAACAAGTCGTACATCATCTCTCTCTCAGACCGTTTCTTGTATCTGCCAAAAACACGCCGTCCCCGTTCCACTCACTCACGTTCATCATTCTAGACGGACTGTTCCCCACAAACAGTTTCCACAATCGGTCGTGAACAATGGATGTCACTGGATGTCCGATTGCTTGGCCCGTGTCCCGCCATCGACCAGGAAAAGGCCCAGATGTCCAAAGATATCGCAGGATGCACACCTCAACACTGGTCCGGACACTCAGACAAACGCTCGACTCCGCGCAGAACCCCCTAGCCCGTCCGAGTCCGCGACGGAGTGCGCCTTCGCCATCGGGAAACATTTCGCCGCGACCAAGTCTGATCGCGTCTCCACCGTTCGGGTAGAGAGGATGTCCCATGGTTTACACATGTTTACACCGACAAACGTTTGTTTGTTTGTTCGTTCGTTCGTCTGTCCGTCCGTTCGTTCGTTCGTTCGTCCGTTCGTTCGTATTTTTGTTTTCGTTGTGTTTTCCTCCCGTGGTGCGAAGCAACTAACTTGTACGTGAGCCAGCAGCTTGAAGGGTTGGCATGTTTGTCTGATGTTCTACGCTCGAAGATGCCAGGATGGTGCCCGCTTTGGAATCCTGGGGAGATCCAACTCTTTGGGGTTTGGCATCCAGTGTCTCACATCCCTTGGAACTGCCGATGCGAAAGGGATTCGGTTTACTCTTCCTAGCATGTGTTCATATAATTTTCTGGAGCCCCTTGTTCTGCCAGAACGTGCCCAACGCGCGTTTCATGGAGTTTGCACCCGCCTGTATGGCGAGAACGGAAGACTCAACTTGGCTTCATCCATCAAGATCCAACCCACTTGGGGTACTCAAAGATCAAGAAGTGACATGACCTACTTTATACTGTGGGTTTCGATGACATCCCAAGATCGATCGCTAAGGACAGTCAACCACTGATTCTAAGAGGAAAGGAGTGACACCTGGTTAGCCTTAGCCAGAGTCTATATTAGCCTGTGGGGCTCAACATTTTGTCAGCTTAGCTGCCCTGCTCTCTCATCCTTGAGCTACCCTGCTACTTTGCACCCGACCCGAGGGTTCATATCGAGCAGCGGATGAGACGGCCGGAAGCCGAGAGTTGTGATTGAACGATGTTTGCCAGCGGCCAAAGTCGCATCGGCAAAAAGATGTGAGGGACCTCAACAACCAAAGTGTTCAGCATTAGTATGCATTAGTAATTTGACACAAACATGGTCGCAGGGAGTGAGAGGGAGCGAGGATTTGAAGGCCTGGAACACGTTCACTCATGGCGTTCAGATAGTTTGCTCATCTGCTTGGGTTTGACGCTGTGGGCGTTCCAATCCCAGGCGTTCCAACCGCCGGCCCTTGAGCGCGGGGCCCTGTGGTTCGAAGCGCCTCGCGTCCGCCGGGCGCCCCAGCGGACGTCATGTCCGGATGTCTCCGGACGTTTCCTTTTGGGAGGTGATTTGTAGGTGATTGTTTATAATCATATAAAGACTGGCTGGTCATTCGATGGTGCAGAAACGGTCGGGCACGTGGGCAGAACGTGGGGAGACCGTTTCGACGACCGGCCTTTCGACGTGGCCGCAGTTGGTGAAGAAGACCGGTGACATCCGGTGACCCTCCGGTGAAGACCGGTGAGGCGAGGCGGGGGAAGACCAGTGGATGTTCGGACTCTAAACATGGACCCATTGGAAGCAGGAAGAGGATCTTGGGCATTTTGGGAGACGTGAGACTTGTGAGAGTCTCTTGAAAGGTAGGATGTAAATGGTGTTTGTGTAGGTGGACTTGTATTTGCAAAGATCAGCCAGTCTGCTAGTCCCAAACATGTTATTCACTCCCAATCACTGAGGTGAGTGATTTGCGTCGGAGCTGGCCGTCTCCTGATCCCGGGTATCTTTCTGCGATTTGCAAAAGTGAACTCACGCTGCGACACACAGAGTGCCACTTTCCAGTCAACACAGGGGGACACACAGAGTGCACAAGGAAGACTTCACAAGACCCTGCCATTGGGTCAAACAACTGGGTTGGTGCAAAGCACCAACACAGACCTTCTGCATCATGGCAGCAAAAGAGAGCCCAGGGGTCAAGACAATCCATTTTTCTCATATGTTTTTCAATTCGTTTCCCATCAGGGTGGGCCGGAGAGTCCTGTGGTCCTTTTGTGGTCCTTGAGATCTCTGGTTGAGGTTTGGTCTCGTGGGGGACTGCTTGCCAGGAGGGTGGGCAAATGCACAAGAGGTGCAGCCGGGCTAACTGGGGAAGGGCAGACTGGAGAGGACTGTGAAGTGCAAACCAACGTTCCGAACGTAGGAGCTTCCTGTGATGATTCCCTCAGTCTAATCTTTGGAGGCTTTGTGACCTTTTTGATCCTTTTTGAACATCTAGCCTAAACGGACAAAAGAGGAAGTTAAAACAATACCAACTAACGAGGAATAAGTTTTTCCCAACCAGAACAATTGAGATGCAGAGGCTCCACTAAACAAAATAACTAGAAATTAGCAGATCTTACAGAAGGAAGCCGGATTTGGATCGCATGGGCCAACCAGGAAGATTCGTGGAAAGCGCGAGGCTAAAGTCTGACCCAACTCCTGCCACGTCTACTGTAACGCTTGCTCTCTCGTTTTAGGTGCATGGACTTGCTCTCGCAGGAGGACAAGGCAAAGATGTTTGCCGAGACCAACAGCCGCGTTGAGCCCTTCAGCGTGCAGAAGATCGACCTGCACCGATGTGCCGCAGCTGGGCAAGTCGACTGGTCGACGGGGCGAGTCTTTGACGTGAACACGAATGGACATGAATGGCAACAAGGTCGTGTCCTTTAGGACACCAACGGGGCAGTTCCACCTCCAAAATTAGGAGAGATTTGGTTTCTTGTGAAAATCAAAGGGAGGTATGTCACATCAAGCCTGATCCTTTGCTGTGTCACTGTGTCACATCGATGATGTCGGGGGGTGCAGTTCTATCTATTTAAGGGCTGCCGCCCCTGCCGCCGACCCCGATTCTCAGGTCCGGCTTTTCCTCCATTGGTTGGCAACGCGTATAATGATGTTGTTGCCCGTTTCAAAGCCATCGTTGCTGAAAACATACCTACTACGTGCGTGACCGACGCCGAACGTTTGCAAGAGTTGGCCCGACGAGGTTGGCGCACGCAGCCCGCATCAGCTCATGGTGCTAACAATTGTCTTATTGATGCACTTCTGCTGACCCTCGCAGCTCACGAACTATTGCCTTCGGGGCTGGGGCCCACACCTGACGCTGTGCCACAACGCGCTGCCATTTGTGCCGCGTGCCGCCAGCATCTAGCTGAAACAATGGACCGCAATCTTGCAGGAAGTGAATTCTTTACGCCATACCTCGATGCAATGCAACACGGCCCGAAAATTGTTAAGTATCTACTGGAACAGCACGGGGCTGCTACTGTTGTGATGTGCCGCAGCATCGAAATTGAAGTTTACACTCGTTTTGATTCGAATGTAGAAACCACAATCACCACTGTGGAGGTTCTTTTAAACCAGCAAGGCACCCAAACCAAAACACTGCGGGTGTACAGCCACACAATGACAAATGGCATGGGTTACCATTTTGATGCATTGCTACCTACGTCAGTTTGCCTAAGGCCGCAAAACAGGGAGCAAACCAACACAAATGGTGAAGTACCAATATATGAAACGAACTGGGAATTGCTACATGGTTTGTTCGTGTCACTGTTGGGTTCAGCTGCTTGTGCGCAAAATATTCTGTCCTCCTGTGTGTCGCAAGAAATTCTCACACCCCTCAAATCCGACATGTCGCACAGAGAAGCAGAAACTGCAGTTCAATTGGTGCTTGCAGTGCATCACTATAAAACCAAAACCTGTTTTCCGCATGATGCTAAAACGTTGCAACGTTTACAAGAAGAAGGGTGGCAAAGACAATGGGTTCCACCAAATCACAACAGCAACAATCTTGTAGAATGTCTGGCGCTCGGGCTCGTAATGCATGGTCTTTGCGACCCCTCTCTCACTTCTGACGCCTCAACGATACAAGTTGCAACGGTTTGTGCAAATGTACGCACATCCCTGTACCAAGACACTGCGAGTGAAACCGTCTTGCGTAGGAAATGTCGTTTAGGCCCCTTTTTGTCGATGTCTTCTTATGGCGCTGTCGCTTTGCAATTGCTATTCAAGGCGCTGAATCCTCGAGAGCACCATCGCCCGGCAGTAGAATTGCGTTTGTATAGCAGCACTGAAGAAGAAACCTCAGACGTGCAGTATAGAAGCCAAAGCATTACAATTCCAAGCGATGGCATCGGAGACCTCATCACACACGTGCTGTGTTTCTACAAGTTTACGCTGCCGTCCGAAACAAGCTACTACTACGATATGCTAACACCCAGCAGCCAAACAGTAGAACCCAGGAGCGTTACCCTTTCTCATGCCGTAAACGCTAGCTCAAAAGGGGTATCCCTGAATTCACATACTTACAAAGACAGCGCAGCAAACCAGCCACCAGCCGGAGAACTTCAACAGCCAGCGCCAAACCACGTCAGCAACCAGCCGGAGAACTTCAGCAGTGCACCAGAGAATTGCCTCAGGAATGCGCATGCGGCAGTGCTTGACCGAAGCATAAAGTCGGGCTGGCACGCACACAACACACCTAAACTCAACAAAGTCAAGCAAACCTTGCAACGGTTCTGTAATCAGCGCGGAGTTCAGGTGCATGTAACTGACACAGATGCAAGAGCCATACAAGCGGTGTGGGCCGATCGCGACAACACAGGACTCACGGTGCACACGTTACTGCAAGCAGGGCTGGCATATGCAGATGCAGGTATGCATAACGCCCGACGCTTGGCAAATCAGTGGCGTGGATTTTACACCACTTGTAATCAGGGAGAAGGGACAAGACTAAACTCAACAGACGGCCACGGTGTGCCCCCACCCTGCCCTTCCGCATTCCCCCGACCCTGTCGGCGTGTTCGGCAAAAGGGACCTACGCCAACGGCGCCTACGGACTCAGCAACTGCGATCAACAATCTAACCCCGCAAAACAAAGTGGATGAGGCAAAGGGACCGAGGCTAATGGCACCGACTGAATCAGCGACTGCGATCAACAACCCAATCTCGCAGACCAATGTGGATGACGAAGCAGAGATTGGGAATATTTTTCCATTGCGGGTCAGGTTACCGGACGATGGCAATGAAGACCCGCGTGCATTGCGCGACTGTGACATTCGAAGAGCAGCTGACCTTCTCACAGCAAGCCCCACTCTACCCGCTTTTATGACCACAACCAAAGCACGGGAAGGAGCCTACGATTTACCCGCCTATCATTGTGCTTTTCGCGCTTGCGAGTTCACTTGCTCGCAACAGGATGCTCTAGAGCAGCACCTTGTCCAAACTCATCAAAGTGTACTACTGCCGTTGTCCCTACATCCGCACGTAACGCACTTCACTATTGCCCAAGCATTGTATCACACCTACTTAGAAATCCTACAGTACCGTTGTCAACAACTCGCTCCAATCGCGAACTGCGCAATAGATCGACGATGTTTACGACAATTTCGGGCAAGCATCGGTGAGGAAGATCTCTGCGCCGCCGTCTGTTTTGTCTGCGCGCGTCGTTTTCCACATGTGCCTGGTAGCCCAAATCCGCTAATCACGTGGGTGCGAGGCTACGACCCGAAGCGATGTCTAGTCTTAGGACAAACAGCGCTGAAACTGGAAGAGATCCTTGGCTGGAACACCTTTGAGCAACGATATATTGCACCACTCGCCGAAGGGACGAAGGCCGCCTTGCGTTTCCAAGAAAACTCTTGGAAGTGTCACCTGCTTTGTCCCGGATACACTCTCACTCTTTTGGCGTGTCCAGAAGATAAGAGGTGTACGAGAACACGACCTTGTCGCCCGGATCATATGTGCGCCTGGTGTGACGTTCCCATTTGTCACACATGCCGCCGCAGTCTCTATACTCAGACATGTAAACCTACCGAAGCCTTGACCAACAATCTGCTTCTAGGGCACCCACCTCGGGAGCTGTACGTTCAGGAATGCACCGCTCTGGAACTTCTCTGCGCAAGCCCGTGTATGACAGCACTCACGTGTTACAGCATTGAGTGGCGATATCTGCGCGATCGCAGTTTAGCACAAGACGCTTTCATGAACCGTCACCGCTTGTGTGCGAAAGGGAATGCGACAACTTTTCCAATGGGAAGATTTACTTGCGGAACTAGAGCAACTGGATTCGACCACTGCTGCTGCTGCACCGTGCAAGTTACCTCATATTGGAGAAGAATTGCGAGAGAGAGTCGCCGTTTTGATTAAGGTCGGCAAAAAATCCAACCAGGTAGAAGCAAAGCAAAAAGTTATACACCAAGCAGTCGTCCGGCGACGTGTCGTGATTGCTCTAATAGCAGCAATGGTCGCGCGTAATCACCCTGCATATCAAAACGTCGACATGACAGCAGTTGCTGAACGAGCCACTATGTTGCCGGAAAATGACGTCCCACCGGAAATTATTGCCTTATTTGAGAACGATGACAGTCTCAGTCACATTCAGCGGCAAAAAGCCGCGAGCGCAGTCAATACGGAAATGAGCGAAGAACAGATTAGTCGCGAATTTGCCTGCATGTTGAAACCCAA